GTTAGAGAAACCTTGGCTTTTTCCGCTCGTTGTCAAGGAGTTGGATCACGTTACGGTTAGATTGAGATTTTTCGGTCCCAATTGGATTTTTTTTGGCAGATATTACGATATTTTGAACATTTCAACATCACGAAATATATGGGCTTGTTGTATAAAATGTAGAGATGTTGGCAGAGTTATCAAGAAGAGAGAAAGATGCAAACATCAAACCTGATCCCGATATCGATGTTTTCATGAAGGTATGAAACGAGTCTAAATGTCTTAATAGACTGTTTTATAATACTTCAGTTTATATAATCAAATAATTGTACGTCATATACAAAGATGTTACATCAGGATGTTAGAACAAATTTGGACATCCTAAAAGTTTTCTAAGATACTTTTGAAATAAATTGTTGTATTAGCTATTTTATAAAATATAAAATCATTCAGACTTTTTTTTGCCTCTTAATGGAATTAATAAGAGGTAAACAAACAATACCTTATTGTATGACATTTTATGTCATATAAAGACTAATATAACATTTTATTTCAAAATTTCTCTAGAAAAACTTGTTAGGACACCTAAAAGCATCCTATGAACTTATTGTAACACATCCATATTTGATGTTCGTACAATTGTCTGTCTATAAACTTAAGTGCTATTAAGCAGTCTATCTCTATCAGGACACTTGTCATAATATTACGACTTATAAAACCGTTTTTGTTGTAGTGATATATATCTAATACTTGTTTTTGATTATTAAGGCTGCAGCATCAGAAGGTCAAGAAGCAAGTGTAGTGACAGATTATACTCTAAAGGTATGAACTTTAGATCATTTCTTCTAAACCTTAATTGTTCATATGTAAGATCTAATGTAAGCTGTTCTTGTTCAGTTATTAGGGTTGGACATTTGTGCCGATACGATGGTCGGAGATCAAATGATTCGGGGGATCTCTGGCGGCCAAAAGAAGCGTGTTACGACGGGTATAATTGCATTCGTTTCATCGCGACCAAATTTGGTTTTATAGGATGTCTAAGGGGCCGTTTACAAAACACTTACCCGATAAGCGCTTACCGGTAAAATTCAATACTATCACTTTCTTACCCGGTAAGATTTTGGTCCACTAAAACGGCATTGGATACAACAATTTACCTGATAAGTGCTAACCGTGATAAGAGTCATCGTCCTCACTTACCGGATAAGACTCTCGGTCCTTGGCTCGCTCTTACCGGGTAAGATTCTTGGTCCTTGCCATATTCTTCCAGTAAGGTAATATGACTTGGTAAACACTTATCCGAGTAAGCGTTTGGTAAACAGCCCCTAAATGTCCTGATTTCTATACGAAGAATTAAGATTATATGACCAAACAATTGTGCGTCCTATGTAGAGGTGTTACAGTAAGTTGATATGACATTTTTGGGTGTATATTACAACAAGTTTTTTAGGACAGTTTTGAAATAAAAGTGTTCTAATAGTCTTTTTATATGATATTAAAATATCTTGTGAAAACAAGTGTCTTATAACTCTGTAGAAAAACTAACATAAAATGTACTAAAAAAAACTTTGTTAGGATGTTCGTATACGTCCTAACATCCGATTTTAGCATTTTTATACAGACTTTTAGGACATTTAGACATATTTGACGTCGTATAAAACCTATTTTGTTGTATTGTTCTGAAATATAAAAGTGTGCGAAACATTTTCCTTTTGGTTACGTTTAGGCGAATTCATAAAACATTACAGGTGAAATGATCGTTGGACCATCGAAGGTTCTTCTTATGGACGAGATTTCTACCGGTTTGGATAGTTCTACGACTTTCCAAATCGTGAAA